CCGTAATTTCATGTTCGGCGTGTGTCTGCGTCCCTTTTCCGAACGGGGGAGTCCGTCTGTTTTGATTCGAGAGTGTGACTGAACGAGAGAGAGGCCAAACGCACAAACATCCTTTCTCTCACCAGCTCTTCATCCCCACACAGAAAAAAACAAACAAACAAAAAAAAAAACGTACACTCGCGTTCGTTCGTTCGTAAATGTTAGCTTCGTATTTGACGGACGCCGCTTTCGCAGCTTTGCCGCCCTACCCCGCCGTCCTGTAAGGTCCCGACGGAGGCGGCGAATCTCGGAAGGGCGTCGGCGCATCTGAATGGAGGTTATGCAAGCGCGTGTATTTTCAAAAGACGTGTTCATTTACTGTTCGTAGAGATGAGACTGTAGGTACTCGTTGTTTTTGTATGAATGCACATTTGTGCCTAAGAACTTTGATAGGGTGCATGGCCATTGAGACATTAACTCTTTTTTAAGAGCGGATGCGATGTGTCGGTGCTCAGCACATTGTATGTAAAGTATGTAAGTTTAAATATTTCTAGTGCGGTCTAATTTGGGGGGGGGGGGGGGGGGGGGGTGATCCATCGGAAGGTTAGTCCAGTGGTTTTTTTGGGGTGTGATCACGTTGCCTTTTGTCAGCTCTCGATCTTGTGAATGAAAGGTGTCGAGTTTCTGACTGGAAAAAAAAATAGAGCATCTTAATGTGCAAGCGCACAGAACGGTGCATGACACGTTAGCATATTGTTACGTATTCGTTGTTGCAATTTGATAATGACGAGTTTTTTCTTTTCTTTTTTTTTTTATGGAAAAATATATATATACATTATATACAAAGTTTAAAAAGTATTTGGACTAAGATAATGAGCACTTGGGGCTGCTATTTTTGTTGTGTGCGTGTTTTTTTTTCTTCTTAAATTGTATTTTTTTTTTGTTTCATTATTGCCATGTGAAGTGTGTATTTTTTTTTTCTTAAAACATTGAATGTATTCCAAAAAAAAAAAAAAATTTACAAACCCGTGCTGATAACAAATTTCTTTTTCCTCAGAAGATTTCAAAAAGAGTGGAAACAAAATACAAAAAATATAGCTTCACAAAGGTTTTCATTTTACACAGCGGTGAAAGAGAAACGAACCAACTCGGGATGGACACAGTTGAACACACTGCCTCTACAATCCTGGTCGGAGTGACTCGGTTTAAAGAAAATGACTTTTTTTCTATTTCATACTGGAGCTTTGGTTGTTTACAAGCCACATGGATAACTTGTGGGTGCAGTTTTATTTTTTTAAATTTGGTTTTATTACTTTTTTTTGTTCCCACATTTGAGACGGGTGGGGTTTGCAAGTGCGCTTCTGCCATACGGACAATGAGTGGTGATTTTTTTTTTTTTTTTTCTCGAGGACGACTGGCAGGCATCAACGGACAAGTTCCTCTAACTTTGGCCCGTCTGAGACTCGGCAGAAAAATCGAGGCTGGACTTTGTGAAGAGTGGAGCGCAGGGCTGCATTAAGCTAGAGAGAACTCGTCTTCACCTCAGCTCTCATGCGCACTCACCCTGCCCTCACCAACTCACCTATGCACTTTTGTTCATTCAAGCTGTGAGGTACAATTTTTGGGGGGATGGGAGCACAATTACAACAGGAGGGTTGCTACGACTTGGGGACAGAGTCACTGAAAATATATTCCCGAACTGAAACTGAGACTCGAGAAGCCAGTCTTCTCCCACCTCCTGTACATAACCATATTTTTGTATTATCGTTCAGAGTTTAGAGAAAAAGGAGAAAATTTTCAAATGGATGAAGGAAAAATTCATAAGACGTTATATGGAGCGAATGTTCTTGATGAAAACCAATCTTTTTTTGTTTTTTTTTTATATATATATATAGTTTTAATTGGACTCGCTGTGAGTTTCCCTTTATATGCCAGTAACCGTGAAATAATTGGGGATGGAAGGGGAACCCACATGGACTGAGGTGTTGGATGTGCTACAGTGGCTCCTAGACTGACTTGGTGGCTACGTATCAAAATGGACGTTGCCACAAAAGAGCCCCAACAAGTTTGTTCGACGCGGATAGTCAAGAGGCAAACTTCAGTTGGAGGAGATCGGCGAGGACGTTTCCACCCGTCTACCAACCTGATGACTACCTTGAGGACTATACAGTGGCTGCAGGAGAAGTGCATGGTGAGATACTTGTCCTTTTTTTATAGCACTCCTTTTGTTCGTTTACAAAGTTACCCTTGAGCCCTACACCCGCCCCTAGCACCACGTGTCCCCTCGACTCTTAGAAGCTGTCACAAGCATGTTGATTGAAATGTTTCGCAACAAAATGCAACACTTGAAGTTCTCGAGTTTTTGTTCAGCTTAGGCCCGTCGCGATAATAAATCAATCACATGATAATTGAGAGTTATCAACCTAATTTTCACTTATCTGCTTTGTTTCTTTGTCTTTTTCTACTGGACACTGGATGACATCTTCACTGACTCCCTCCCTTTCTCTTTAAAATCTATTTTAACCGTCCAAAATCATGTTTTTGGATTGTTAAAAGCAGCTTAGCTGAGAAGCTAAGTCTCGTCGAAGCCCCAAAATTCACGGTTGAAACTTGTGCCTTCGTCTAAAAAGTGTTTTTCTCTGCAAAAAGAAGCTGAGAACTTTACTTATTTTTTTTAAAATTTTATTTATTTATTAAAAGCTTTGTGTGACAAATGCTATGCTAAAGAGCTCAAACCACACTGGGCGTTCGCCATTTTGAGAACCGAAAAACAGGAAGGAGAGACAGCCCATGTCACGTCAAGGGACCTCCCTCCCATTTTTCTTAGAGACACGCTGCTTCACTATAATGAATCCTTTGGTTCAAACACTTATACTGCCATCCAGTGGTCAAAAAAGGTACTACACACAAAAATTAACCAACATTTCTTCTTAAATTTGACAATAATTACTAATTATTGTCAAATTTTAACCTATTATTGCTTATCGCAATAATTTTTGAGAAAATCGCCCAGAAAAATTTATCGTGACGGGCCTAGTTCAGCTGTGATGTTTTTGTCTGTGCACCTTGCTATCATATAAGACGCTGACTTGTACGCTTGTAATGAATTTAAATACTCTCTACCGTCATGTCTAGCTTAAAGTATTTTACCAGAGAAAAACACTAGTTTTTTCTTGGTTACAAAGATGAGACATTGTACCAAATAATACATTGAAATACATCAAACAGACGCAGTTAATTTAAGATTCCGTAATTTCCAGACTATTGAGTGCACCCAAATAAAAGCCACGCCCACTAAATTAAAAAAGTACATATATAGTACAGTATAGTAATATATTGTACATATATATTTTATACATATAGTCATATGATCAATGAAACTGAGTTTCATTGGTCTGCTGTGACCTGTTTGGTAATTTCACTGGTCACTTTTTTTTTTTTTAACCTTTTATTTATACAGGTAGTCTCATTGAGTCACGAAGACCCCACCCCCCAACAGAGACATGTTGGGAGGCTAAACGTTTCAGCTGCATGAAGCTCGTTAGCCAGTCAACAAATAAAATCTATAAATTAGCCGCGGTGTTCAAAGCTTGTGGGAAAAAATAGCGGCTTATAGTCTGGAAATTACGGTATTTAACTTGAGAAAATACTTGAAACTTGCGAGTTTCTCTTGTGGCACAGCGCCTAAGCTTTTCAAGCGTCTTTGTTTGAAGGACCACATGGGACAACTCTCTTTCATTAGTGCTACGCTTACACTTATCTACCCCGTGGCCTTTGAATCAAAGTTAGAGGAGCAGTTCGAATCTTTGACTGTGAGGTGGACACCCCTTGAAGAACTTGATGTTTCATCAGTTGTCCATTATTTACGTAGAACTAACGTAATACCTTTTTATATGACTTGTAAAACTGGTTAATGTGGACTAATCTTGTTTTATTTTTGTAACGGTTGTTTAAAAGAATGGAAATACCAAAGGCAGTGGGTAGAAATGCACTAAACAAGATGTCCTGATGCTCAATAATCCAGGTAGATAAATCTAACGAGGTTGAGTCAGGTCCTTTTTGTTGATGAGATACTTTGGCCACTTGTGATGACTTCTCTCCTTTTTTTTTTCCAAACAGGAGTCTGGCTTTGCTGCCCTCTACAATGAGGATTTAATCTACAGCCGACCTATGAATCAAGCTGCCCTTTTGACCTTTAACCCTAAGACACTTGTGTCAACCTTGGACTGGGGCAGGCCATCGGCATTATCGGTTGGACAAGTCCGTCAACCATCGATCCCGCCCAAGTTGGACTTTGGATTTGATCAGACTCCCAACGAGGAAGAGGACTGAAAGGCGCACGTTGCCATGGTGATCATAGCTGGAAACTCTTGGAGGGCAGAGGTCTTCTAACGGCCGGACGTATAACCCGCCCTCCGCCTCGACATCAAAGGGTTTGCTGGGGTTGCAGTGGATCTCCGCTCCTTGCAGCTGTGCAACCGGATGGACTTAAAAACAATTGTACATAAAGACTTTGAAACCTGACGCAACATGCAAACAATTCATAGAAATACTCGAGTCCAAAGGAGCTGCAAACACACTACATGCACACGTCACAGCAAAAGTTACATCGACCCGTCTGGAACCACGTCCACACACACACACACACGATAGGGACACACATGTCAAACACAAACACACGGAAGCATCAGCGCTCATCGGTGCAAACGCTGAGCTGTGTACATAATGTACAGATCCGTTTGGATGTTCCTCATAATGGGTATTTTGCTTTACTACTTTGTTCAACATGCCTTAAATTGTATAGTTGAGTCTCGAACGGCTAATTGAAAGTTTTCTCAATGGTAAGTTTTAGTTGGAAACCACCTTGTTGACTATTCTCAAGTTTAAATACGACGTTTTTCTGTTTGCTAACAGAACCCGCGGTGCATAAACCTCATACGTGTGCATCCAATCACCTTTAAAGTTACTAGTTAACTACGGATTAAAGCAGGAAGTGATGTTTTTTTTTTTTTATTCTAATTTTGCTGGTTGGCTGATGTTGCCCATTTGCTTTCTTTAAAATGGAGAGGGACTTTATTTCTGAAGGTGCAGACTTAAAAGGGCTGAAGTCTGTGCTGTTTGGAGCTGAGCTGACTGGGTTACAGGTTCACGACTGTCCTTAATCAAAGACGTGTTGCCACGTTCGATCAATTTCGGATAAATGTTTTATTTTCCACTAAGAGCCGCAGGCCAAATCTGGTCCCCAAAGATAATTTGAATGTAAAATATCGTCTCTTCTGATTTTTTTCTTTTAAAAATACTGATAAATACTTCATTTAGTGTAGACCTCTCTTGCCAGCTGGCTAACTTTGAAACCAGAAAGACGGCTGGATCTTTCTGCCATTACTGAGTCTGATGTGGAAAGAGACGGAACGTCATATGAGACCGACCAAACTCGTTCGTGAACCTGCAACCAAGAAAAGACATCAGGCACCTGCCTCGAGTTCATGTATCAGCTGAAATGTCCCGTGGCTCGGACTAAGTTTTTAAATTTTGGGCTCCTTTTGGTAACGGAGTTCGACCGCCCTACCAGGAGATTTCAAAGTTTTCGTAAGGCTAAAAGACGCTGGTTTGAAGTTTGGATTTGGTGACTCAAGGCAAGCGTGCACGATTTATTAGTCGGGATTGACACTAAATGTTTTAGGCGCGTGGAGACGTCGTATTTGTCAGACTAAAGGAGCTAACCAGTCGGCTGTGCGTCTTAGGCTTGGTCTGTATATTTATTTAAAATGCATTTCAAACATCAATGTTTTTAGTCGATCTGTTTTTTTCTCATCGAGTAAATAATAAGCAGCTTTTATTACGAATATTACCCGATTATTAATTGTCTAGCATCAGACTTCTGAAACGCGTACATTTACGTAATTTGTGCGTATCTGCTATAGCCAAGTAGCTGCAGAACGCTTTGGTACACATTAGTAACTCTTAAATCAATAATAAATGGTCCAAATTTAAATAAAGAATGACAAAATAGAGGATTAGGATTATGTGACTCTCTTTGTTTGCGAATGTCTTTAACAAAGACCCGTTGGATGATTTTTAAACTGAGCGAGCGATCTGTTTTTTTACTGCACTACAAAGGCTTTTAAGATGACATGAACTCCAGTGCTGTGTTGTCCAGGTGGAAAAATTAAATTTACTTGATTGGTTGATCCTTTGGGAAACGTTCCAACATGTCCGGTGAGCTCGAGGATATGACGTCGATCGTGCAACGCTTGCCCGGAAGTCCCGACGCCTGTTTTGACAGCGACCGCACTCCAGTCAGCTCAGCTCCTCCGTCTTTGAACGTTGTCTGAAGATGACGACGTAACTGTACATTTGATGAGTCCGTCTCAGAAAAGAACAACCGAAAGACGTGTAAATAGTTTGACTCTTGTTTGAAGAACAAAATAAATACTAAATAAATGACATTTAGAGGTCGGTTTGTTTTTCCAGGTGAACTTTTTAAGACAAAAAAACACAAGATGGAAATAATTAGAGATATGAACAGGCCTAAAGCAGCAGAACTAAGGGATAGCTCAAGAAACTCGAGCCTGTAGGATTTATCAAAAAGCGAAGACTTCAGTTTGTAGCGCCGAGTCACAACAGAGGTCGTCTCAGGTCGCTGAACAGAAACATTCAAACAGTTGATAATTATCTGAGGAGCAGACGTTTTCAGTTGGTAACTTCATCTCAGACTCCTCTTGAGCACGAAGGCGACCGTGGAAAGGAAAAACTTCCTCAAGAGGAAGAAACCTTTAGCAGAACCAGGCTCGGGACAAGTGGACATCTGCTTCGACCGGCTGGGTTTGAGAGGAACAGATACACAATGGCAGGTCAAGAATCACGTGTTAAGGTATCTGATTAAAAATATTAAATTTTAACAAATCGTTTTAGGAAATTGGGTCAATTTGTTTTCTAGTAGTCTAAGCTTAAGACGGCATTACAAGCCAACTCTTAACTATAGGATTTATCACAAAGTCTTAAGCCCAGTCTTGAACATGTGTCCGCCTCACGGACAGAAACTGGAAGCTGGTTCCACAAGAGAGGAGCCTGAGAACTGAAAGATCTTCTTCCCATTCCGCTTTTGGAAACTCTAGGAACCGCAAGTAAACCTACAGTCAGAGTGAAGCGTGCCGTTATGAAAATAATGATAATATCTCAAATATAAGATGGAGCTAGGTTGTTGAGGGCTTTGTAGTTTAGAAGTAAGATTTTGAATTTCCCTGTGATGACTTCTGCTGTGACTTGGTGCTATAGAAATTAATTAAATTCAGTTCTGGACTTGACGGGGAGCAAGTGGAGAGAAGCTAAAACTAGAGATGTGATCTCTCCCACCAGTTAAGACTGGCAGCAGCATTCTGGATCAACTGAAGACTTTTTAAAGACGTATTTAGACATCCAGATAATAAACCATTGCAATAGTCCAGTCTAGACGTGACAAATGCATGAACCAATTTTTCTGCATTTTTATTTTGAGATGTTTCTAATTTTAGCGATATTATGCAGGTGGAAGAAGGTGGTTCTAGTAATGTTTTTAATATGGGGGTTAAAAGACGTGTCCTGATCTAAAATAACACCACGGTTTTTAACTTCAGAGCAGTAAATTAATTACAGGACTTGTTTTCATTACCAACTTTGTTTCTTTTTTCTTCAAGAAGTACCAAACTTATTTTGTTTGGGCCGTTCATGATCGAGTGCCACTATCCTGCATATTTTTGTTGTTTTTCTGCTCTTTCAGTTTTAAAAGTTCTGCAGAAGCCAAATAATCTTTTCTTCACATGTCAAACAGGAAAACATGCAGAATGGTGGCCCACGAAGACCAGGACTGGGCCCTAATGTACCAGTTATGACAATAAAGTGGTTCTGATTTTGAAAGTATTTCTATATAATTAATTAACATTAATCAAATTCCATGGATTAACAAACACCTAACATTTATATATAAAAAAAACAAAATGCATTGACTTCCGCTCTTTAACTGGCTCCTGACCTGAACTGAAATCTCGCGATACTTCCTGCCCTCCTCCCGTGTTTACAACCTCTCGTTCTCGCGGTGATGAGCTCGTGGACCAAAACAAAAGTTCCCTCGTAGCATCGTGATATCTACTAGTTTCATGGGGTTTTGTGCTTTTTCTCTGCTTTTATAAATGTATAAACTCTGCAGCGTGGAGAAAGGTGGTCCAGAGAGGCATCGGACGAACCAGAACGAAGGTAGGTAGCATCAAACTGTTAGCTCAGGCTAATGCTAACTTCAGCTACAATGCTAGTGCCTTCTGCAGCCAATGAACCGTTATTAGAGGTAAATTAAGGCATTTATTAAATTTTCCTTTATTCTTTTAAATAAAGGCAGCGAGTCTTAAGTGCGAAAGGTTTGTTGAAGCATTTTTTTTAAACTTTCAAGATGATTACGATTCGTTTTAAAGTGGCTTCTTGTCACGACAGGTGTGTTTGTCTTTCTGCAGTTTGTGATTATTTCTTTATTAAAGCTGTCGAGTCCTTGTGAAAAAGTAATAAGTTACTTTTTTTGCAATATACAATAACAAAGGTTAGATTACTATGCATTCCCAGTCTTATTAAAATAAACTACAGCTGTAAGTTTGATGCTTATAGTTTGTTTTGGTACACTATAAAATTCAGTATCTGTTAAAAACAGGACAATCAGTTATTACTAATATGTTGGACCTTCAGAAAATGATGTGCAATAACAGTGGAAGGAGTTGTTGTAAAACTCCTTACAAGAGAAATACCTTTGTGTGAAGATGAAATGTTAAAGCTAAGAGGGAAAAATGCTAACTACCTAGCAAACAGCCAAAAGTACTAGCTATCATTAGCTGTTGGGTAAAAGAAGCCAAATTCTAGCCTAAAGCCAAGAATAGCATAACGCTAGGTAAAAGCCAAAATTAACTAAATGTACAAACCAAATGATTGCAATTTGGTAGTTATTAGTGAAATGTAGCAAATTTCTAATTGTTTTCCAAAAGTAGCAAAAGGCTTGCAAACAGCCAAAAGTATCAAAGCACTAGCTGTTATGTTTATTTGTCATATGCAGGTTAACACAAGGTCAAACAGTGCAAATAAATGTTCAGGATGAGATGAGCTGTTAGGTAAAACAAGCCAAATTCTAGCTTAAAGCCAAGAGTACCGCAACATTAGCTAAAAGCCAAAATTAACTAAATGCTAGCTGTAATTGCAAATTTCTAACTGTTAGCCAAAAGTAGCAAAAAGGCCAAGAGTAGCATGAAAAGCCAAAGATGGCAAATTGCTAGCTAAAATTATCAAAACACAAGCTTACATCTCAATATAGCAAGACGCTAGCTAAATGTAGCAAAATGATAGCTATAAGTTAAAGATAGCAAAATGCTAGCTAAATCTATCACTACACTTGCTAAAAGCTAAATGTAGTGAAAGGCAAGCTAAGTGTATCAAAATGCTAGCTAAATCTATCACTGCACACGCTAAAAGCAAAATGTAGCGAAATGATAGCTATAAGTTAAAGATAGCAAAATGCTAGCTAAACCTATCACACTTGCTAAAAGCTAAATGTAGCGAAATGATAGCTATAAGTTAAAGATAGCAAAATGCTAGCTAAACCTATCACACTTGCTAAAAGCTAAATGCAGCGAAACGCAAGCTAATTATTGCAGAAAAGTAGGTAAATGCAAAATGTAATGTAACAACAAATTAGTTAAAAGAATCATAAAATGACAAAAGATTGAGCTAAAGCAGATTTTAAAAAGAAGAATGTTTTCGAAGACACAAAGACATTTAAATGTAATTCTGCGAAGAAAATATTTGTAAAGGTAATATTTTGAGAACGACAGAAATTACAAAAACTAATAATCATAAAGCCATCTCCTGAATGAGCTGTAGTTTATTTATATACGTATATATATATATATATTTCTATGAGAAGCTGAAATAGCAGAAAGTGTGCAGAAGCAGTTAGACTGCAAGAGAATAACCACAACTATGTGAATGCTGAATCAGCGTTTATACAGTTTTATTTAATTTAAAAAACAGATTTTTACCAACTGACTCGTTTTCAAGTTGGCTAAATTAGATTATATTTTAACAGCAAGGTCAAATAAATTTGTATTTCATGGCTGATGATGTTTTTATTCACTTTAAAGAGGAAAAAAATAATCTCAGAGTTGCAAATTATAATCTGAACTGGAAACTGCAGCCTTTAATTTACTCTTCTGTTCAGGTAGGTGATGTCCTCGAGCCCCCACAGACTCGGCCATCCACACTGCAGGAAGAAGCACTATCCTAGCAGCACCTACCTCACCCACGTCTGACAGCCCCCCCCTCCCCCACTGGACACAGGGACCCCCTCAACACCAGGTGGACTGCTTACCCAAAGCCATGTCTGATTCAGCTGGAGGTGAGGGTGGAGGGGCGGCAGGTGCAGGGCAGGACTCTGAAGCAGACGGCGAGCCCCCTCATCCAGTCCCATTAGACTCTGGAGAAGTGGGGGGGGCCTCGGAGGAAGGGGTCCCACCCTGTGCCAAACGGTCCAGGATGAGCGACGAGGAGCCGGAGCAGGAGGTGGAACCTGAAAAGGCACCCGAAGAAACACCAACAGAGGAAAACCCCACGCCACCTGCACAAAGTACAGTATTACTTATTAAAATTTAAACCTTGTTTAATGTCGCCGCCCCCCCCCATAAAAAAAAAAACCCACCCAAAATAAATTAAACTCTGTTCTTGAACCCTTTGGAGTAAATTCAAACGCTGGGTCTCTCTGTAAATGTAACTGTGTGTGTTTTTA